TCTCTCTCTCTCTCTCTCTCTCTCTCTCTCTCTCTCTCTCTCTCTCTCTCTCTCTCTCTCTCTCTCTCTCTCTCTCTCTCTCTCTCGTTTCTGTGAGGTGATCACCCTCTTTCTATCTCTGTCTGTGTGCCTGTCTCTCTGAGGGAAACACGGAGTTAGAGGGACGGGGAAAGAGAGATGCCCACACATACCCCTATGATTTCCATATCCAGTCCAAGCATACCCATATGCTTTGACATGGACCCAGAAACGCTGCTTTCCGGGTCTGCCTGTCCTTCCACAGAAATGGCATTCTATACTTCATCCTAAGTTTCTAGGATAATGATTCCCCTCCTCTTTCTCCTCCTGTCGTCCCACCTTGGGGGGTGTGCACTGCACTATCATGTATTTTACCTCGTTTTGGGATAGGAATAAAGTCAGGCATGACTCAGCACGCATCCCCATGCCCACCCAGCACATTACATCGAAAAAAAAAGGAAGAAGAAAAAAACTCTCGTTTCCGTTTTCAGGAGGGACCACACAAAACAGAGTACTCCGGGAGTATGTGTACGCTATGCTGCACACGTCTATACTATACAGTATACAGTATAAATGCTATAAATGATTTAAACAAAATACTATATAGTATATATCGTCAAACAGAGCTGCCCAGCGTAATGCAGAGAAGGAGAGAGACGAGGACAACAAACGAGGGGCTGTGACAAACTGTTTTGTCGGAGTTTCACCGACTCATCAGGAGGCTGAACCCTATATCTATAGATTCTATACATATATATCGTCAAGTAGAGCTGCCCGGTAGTATAGCATATATGTTTGCAAAGTGTGCCCTTTTAGTTCATACTATTTCATAGATATGTGAGAAGATATATAGTATATACATTAGTACCATTACTACATTAGGAATATATATTTTATTAGTAATTTATAAGACAGGCAACAATTGACGAAGTAATTAATTTGCCAGTTCTGTATGCTTTTTCGCCGTTTGCCGCAAATTTATATCCTCGAAAAAAAAAAAAGTTCTACCTTATTTTTAACAATTTAATTACATCTTATAGACTTTATAGTATAGTATATACATTAGTACCAATAATAAGTTCCAATACTACATTAGGAATAGACAATTTATTAGTATTTTCTTAATTTTTTTTACTAATTTATAACACAGGCAACAATTGATGAAGTAATTAATTTGCCAATTCTTTATGCTTTTTGCATTCACACTCCGATTATTCACACTTG